GGGAGGTTTCAAAGACAGGTAACGACTCTCACCGATACTGGGCTGCAACGACTCAGTTGGTAGGGGACATTGTTGGCCTTCAAAGGACTGAAACACCACAGAGGGGAATAAATATCTCTGGTTCAACACCAGTCGGGCAGAACTGATGAAGCCTCTTGGATGAGAGGTGAAACGTCTTCGACCTAGAAATCTAGTCCAGTTTTTTTCAGCTTACTATGACCTGGATGACTGAGAATCTGCACAGACGACTTGTTCATCAGGTGTTTTGAAAAAGCAGCTGTGCACAAGCTTCTTTTTCATTTCACCTCCATCCATCTGGTTCATGCGTGTGTGCTCTTCCTCCTAAACTGTGTGTTTCTGCTGCACTGAAATGCACTCAGGTGCTCTGCCTTCAAAAGCAGGATCTTTGTTCTCCAGAACAGTCGGGAGAAAGGCGGCATGGTCAAAAACCTGCAAAAACAAAGAGACAGACAAAAAAAAACCTTGATGTATTAAAAACAAGCTGCTTTCCTGTCAGCAGGCTGACAGACGCACAGCAGCACCTTCCTTCCTCTGGTCACCTGTCAGCAGAAAAACACTTCAGGCGGGGTGGGGCCTCAACTTCCAACCCACCCACAACCAATACCTGCGCACTGATAACAGTGAGGCCTAGTTTAGTTTATTTGCACAACACCATAGATCACAAATATACAGTGGTGTGAAAAAGTGTTTGCCCCCTTACTGATTTCTTATCTTTTTGCATGTTTGTCACACTGTAATGTTTCAGATCGTCAAACAAATTTATATATTAGTCAAAGATAACACAAGTAAACACATCATGCAGTTTTTAAATGAAGGTTTTTATTATTAAGGGAAATTGGTCTACTTCACTTTGTCAGGCAGGTCCTATTTAAGTGATTTCTTGATTGCGAACAGGTGTGGCAGTAATCAGGCCTGGGTGTGGCTATAGAAATTGAACTCAGGTGCGATAAACCAGTGTTTTGACAGGGGGGCAAACACTTGTTCACACAGGGCTATATAGTTTTGGATTTTGTTTTCCCTTAATAATAAAAACCTTCATTTAAAAACTGCATGATGTGTTTACTTGTGTTATCTTTGACTAATATATAAATTTGTTTGACGATCTGAAACATTACAGTGTGACAAACATGCAAAAAGATAAGAAATCAGTAAGGGGGCAAACACTTTTTCACACCACTGTACAGTGCAAGGAATTAGGCACATTCGTACAGTCCCAAGATATGTGCAGGTAGAGCCCAGAGACCATCGCAGTGTGGCTCTCTTACAAATGTAGTAGTACAAGTAGTATTAGTTAAGTGCTGACAATTCAGCACATTTGAAATGCACAGGACATTGCACAGCAGTTTAAAGGGGAGTGAGTAGGCCTATTGCATTTATCCAGAACATTTCTCTGCGACACAGGGGAGCTCTCCCCCAGGAAACATCTGCCGACAAAGGTGAGCCACGACCGGCCAGAGCACAGCCAGGTTCTGGGTTCTGACTGCGTTCAGAAAACCACAGGTTCAGCTGCCGTTTGGCCAACGTGAAGCCTGGAACTTGTGCAGCAGCACATGTGAACAGTACATGTTGTGCTGTCTGACTTTGCTCTGGAGAATCGAGAAACTTGTTTCATGGTTCAGGTCCAGTTTGTAGTAGCAGACTCACTGTGAGAATGTGGCCCTAATCCTCTGAACCACAGGTGTTTGTGGTCTCCAGATGTTGAGACCGGCTGCACCAAAAGGGGTCAGCAGGGTTCTTTGAGCAGGGTTCTCTCCGCCGTGTGGTGTAGAGCTGAAATGCTGTGGCTTCCATGCTGTCTGAACCAGGTAAACCTGCCCGACCATGGGTGACCTGTCGCCTTCATGCTAAGTTATTCTGAACAAAGCCGAGTTGTCAGACCTCAAGCAGTGACGCTGGTGTGAGGGACTGATTTGGAGGATGGACAGTTGTAAAACATCCAGTCGTTTTTTGTCCCAGGTGTTGATTCAAACAGCGACTGGCAGCGTTTGATGCAGAGGATGTGTGAGACAACACAAAACTCTGTCAATTTGCTTTTACATGACAAAACATGGTTTATCTTTTTTCTTTTACTCCATTTGTTCCTTTGTCATGTGTGTCTGTAACTACTTTTATCTTTAAAATCGCTGTATAAATAATGTATTGCTACTATTGTTACAGAACTACGTTGGATGGCTGATTTGATGTTTCCTTTGTTGAACTGAAGGAAAGTGGAAATGCATCTTACGAACACGTCTTTATCTTTTTTTCATCAGACTTACGGCTGATGTGATCTTTTTTCATCAGACTTACGGCTGATGTGTTTGTCGTATGAACTTGAAGTTGTAAATATTGTTGTGGCTGGTTAACAACTGTGGTGGCAGTGCTGTTCTGCCACTTGACCTGCAGATGTTTCTGTTCATATTGGAATAAAGTTGAGAAATGGGAAGGTGTGCGTCTTGCTTCAATAGCTTAGTGGTAAAGTGTTGAACTTTTGTCTCTGCTGCAGTTTCCTCTCTCAGGTAAATTAACTTTGATGTCACAGACATGACTTTGCAACTTCCAGCTGCGACATCTGTGTCTGGTGGAGACAGACGGAGGCTGCACAGTAAAACCTCATTCATTCTTGTGAAGAAATCGATGTGATCAGTGAGTTCAGCGCATTCTGCCTGAGAGATTCACCTTATGTCACACTGAACAGCAGCGCAAGCTGCTACAGGTGAGAACAGCTGTTCCTGCTGCACTTCTCTCAGGTTTAAAGGTCAGAAGATTAA